ATTGGTATTAACTAATCAACACATAAATGCACATATCAGAACAACATCTATTGGATGCTGGGGAAGGGGGAGGGCGGCGGGAGGACGGGGGAGGAGAGAGGAGGGGACGGGTATTTGTATACACAAGGAGTGCAATGCACACTACCCGAAGGATGGACATATTTGAAACACTGACTTGGGGCGGTGGGAACCAAGGGCAACACACGTAACCTAAACATCTGTACCCCATAATATACCGAAATAAAAAAAAAAAGTTAAAAAAAAATAAAAATAAATAAAAGTAAATAAAAAAAAATAAAACACACTGTTTACAATGCAGGAGGGGGGAACCTTGAAAACAGGTTTTGTAAAAGAAACGAGATACAGAAAAGACGCATATTGTATGATTTCATTTATATGAATCCATAAAGATGAAAAGTAGATTCAGAGTTGTCAGGGAATGGAGAAGAAATGTTGATGAGTATTGAGTTTCTATTGGGGCTGATGAAGATACCCTGGAATTAGATATGATGGCTGCACTACTCTGGATATACTAAAAAAAAATCACCAAATTAAATAATTTAGAAAGTAAATTTCAGATTATGTGAATTTATCTCAATAACCCTGATATTAAAAAAAGGAAAAAGCCATTGTTGTTATTCTAGTAAATACTCCATAAAATAATTTTATTAAAGTAAAATTTAATAAACAAATTTATACATTCAATGTGGTTATCCCATTTTATAACCATACAGTAATTATGTTTCCTAAAGTTACGATTAACTTAAAGACAGTCCTGCACAGTCCTGTTGCCTCACGTGAGGTCTCAGAAACATAATTTCATCAGGCATGAAAGCTCACCAGTAAACTATCATGAAATTTGAATTTTCATGGGGAATATAGATAAAGGAAAGGCCTCAGAGGGGAAGAGAAGGAGGAAGGAAGGAAACTATATATCAGGGCAGCTTTATAAACATCATAGAAGCTCACTGTTCCATTGTCGTAATCCAGAAACACCCCAACCCGACGAGGCCTTTGCACACACTGAGCTAAGGGTGGAGAGTTGGTGGAGCGACTATAACCATTGATCCCCTTTAAAGAAAATAGCAAAAATGCATTCTCAGAATCAATAATAATACTGGTATCTGTGTCCAGGAATCTTTACAGACTCCCAGAACCCAGCTGGAGGAGTGCGTCACATCCACTTCCCAGTAATGCCTGCCAGAGGTGAAGGCCTTAGCTCCCCATGCAGCAAAGCTCTCCGCTGTCTGGAGTTCCCAGTGTGCACCGTGAGGGTCATCTCCAAATATCACACTTCTCAGGTGCTCAGTAAGGCTTATGTAGCAACTCACCATTTCCATACTCAGAGGACTGTCCACTGCAAAAAGAAGCAAAAATCAGATCAGCAAGTTCCCTGAAAGGCAGAAGATTTCTTCCCAATTAGTCACTTCGTTTGTTTCTCCTTCAAGAAAATATGGAATAAAAAGAGCAAAGAGAGTTCAGACTCACTAATCTGTGAAGATCAAGGGTTATTACAACCTCTACAGCACACAAAATTCCTTCTCGTAAGGAAAAAACCTGGCCATATCACTGTGTGAAGCAGTGATTTAATGTGTACCTTTGAATATTTTGTTTCAGGACATACCTAAGGCTTTTTTTTTTCTTTAGTAGAAAACTCTTGTATTGTCTTGAATAGCATCAATAAACAGATATTAATTTGCTAGGATGCAGGTATTTATTAAGATATAAACTGTACCTGTTACATTTTCAAACATCAAAAAATTTTTTGGAAATCCACATGTGTAGTTTGGAAATTTCTGAAAAGAATGTTCTGCTTAACACTATGTGTTAAGACCCTGCCACATTCAATCTAATCCTAGCTTTAGCCCTCTGCTGCCTAGTATGTGCCTAACATTGTTGAGCCCTGTTCACAGATCCTTTTTCTTTCAGTTGTTTTGAGAAGTATCTCATAGCTTCACAATTGTTCTGCTGAAAGACATTTTAGTCATTTTAATTGTTGATCAAAACATTCTGATTGTATAACTATATACTCTTTGTACAATGCATGATAAATGCAATATAGAAGAAATTAAAAATGATCAATGCCAAATCTAAACATTTAAAGTTGGAGTAAATGAACAAACAAAAAATACTGATTGCTACTCTGAGAACTAAGTATTGTATTTCTTCATAACCACATGACCTGAATACTCTTCTCTTACTCTGCCTACATCAGATATAATTCAAATGTGTATCTTCTTTTGCGTTTTCAGCAAACTCTAACTCAAAAATTTGAGTCTTGATCATTATGACTATTCAGAGAGACTAGATGGAAATGTTTTGGGAATTCACGTAAGAAAAAATTTAAATAGGACAGAGCTCATCCCCAAAAACCCACTAAAGAAAGAAATTGAGGCCTGACTGCCAAACAGCTGACTCTCACCTCTGAAGTTGTTCAGCATGTTGAGGAGTCCAGTGATGCGCCACGATGTGAGCTCTGGGTTCACCAGCTGCGGCTTTTGCATCTGCACTAACTTGGTCCTGTAAAGAATGGCATCAGTCACACTGCAGGGCGAGGGTTAATCACACCGTCATTATAAACATACTGGGTTTTAGTCTAAGATACTGATATTTCATCTGAATTCTCCCGTTTTTTGTTAATTGGATATACATTTTATTCCACACTCCTAGAGATATAAGAAATTTTACTTTTTTCTAAATTTAACTGATATCACATTCCAACTTCCCCATTCGTCTCAGACAATATTCAACTTCTAAAATTTTTGAGTGCCATTCCCTCCTTCTACCCCTCACACCACTTCAGATTATGCAAAGATCCTGGGTATCTCATAGGGAGCAGAAAACTCAGGCACAGCCTTTGGGACTTCAGTCAGCAGTAGTCACCAATGACAAAGTCAATGTCTAAAAGAGAATGTCCACTGAGCCAGAAGGCTTTGATTATTTCTACCAGCAAGGGAATGTAATTCCAGCCTGACAGCCCTGGTCCTGAGAGTTCCAAGGGTCCTGAGGCAGCCATTGTCTTCAGAGGTCCTGCCTACAACAAGGGTGTGGTGTGATGGAATAGGGCCCGGCCACGGCTACTCACGGGAACAAAACCTCCCTTCCCTTCCCATCCTCAGGGAATCTTCCCCTTTCCTCTGTCTTTTTCACCTTCCACCTTTCTAGAAGATCGGGCTTCTCTGTGGTACCTTAGAATAGTCTCCTTATTAAAGTTTATTGGGCAGGGCTGGAGAGGATTGGGGGAATGAGTAGAACAAAGCCCAGAATAGCAATTTTTTTTAGGTATATTTGAATTCAGCCACATAAGAAGGAAACTACCAAGACACAGGAGGAGAAGGTCTCAGAACCTCTTTTGAAACGAAGTAGAAAATAGCCACAGAGAACAATGTTAATAACTCAAAACATTACATCCACTTCATTAACAACTTTCTCAGAAATAGAAGATCCTTAGTGTAAACTCACCTTTCCAACACATTTCCCAAGTCCTGCAAAGAAAAAAAAAAAGTTATTAATCATGAGAATATATTCTACTGCACTTTTTTTGGTTTTTTTGTTGTTGATTTTGTGTTTTAACAATGTATTTTTTTCTTATTCCCCTATAAGGAACCATTCAAGGTTATGTTGACAACAGAATCTGAACTGAGCCATGAGGGGCTTCCTCAGTGCGCCGCACTAAGAAGGAAGGAGCTCAGGAAGAGGCTGTGAAGTGATGCAAGGAGATCTAAGTTCCCAGTGTGACTCATCTCCCAGTCTTATTCCCAAGGAGAGGGCTGACCATATATAGCAATTAAAACAAATCAAGGAACCATCTAAAAAACAGAGTTCTTTGAAATTCATTACCAAATTCTACAAACCTTGCCTGGGCAAGGGGCAAAACCTCAATTTCTTCAGCAAATTGCTTTTGTGTGGGACAACAGAAAGCAATGGTGGATTAGGTGACATAAATTCAGTGTTACACCAACAAAGTTAACTTCCCTGGCAACAGTTTTGCCTATGTTGGATAATGTTTCTGTGTGGACAGTATTCCTCATGGCACTGATGAGAATTTTGCCCTATATTATCTACAAAAATAGCAAAAATTTCCCAAAGATAAGGAGACTGTGTAGAAATAAGTGACTCCCACAAACAGAATGGTGGAAGTCAAGGAGCATGTATCAGTCAGCTGAGTACTGGTATCAGCAGGTAATATTTCAACATCCTGGCCACATCACCTAGCAAAGGATTCCTGTCTCAGGATGGACCCTCTCCCCATATCTGGAGCAGCTCCACGTCCAGCTTGTGGCACATCTCAGTCAGCTCTCTGTACATGTCTTTCATCCTTTCTTTGTGTTGAGTCATTCTGACTTCACTGTCTCTGAGTCGTTGGAAAATCTCCTCTGCTTCTCTGTCCATTGCCTCCAGGTGGGGTTGCTCCTCCTCATGGAGAAATAGATGCGTCCTCTGATATTGAATTTTGATTATCATCTTCCTCAAGGCCACATAGTCCTGCAATGATATTCAATTAAAAGGATTACATGCCCTCTCTCTCAACAGAAAACCTAAAACTTCAAATAATTATTTCCTTACTATCATCAAGCAAGTAATTAGTAAACTCTTTTGCCTCACTCCTGCAAAGGGTTTGAATATTTTCTAATTCTTTCTGTCCATCCTTTTTCTACATCCCTATTCTCTCTCCCTACTTAAATCAAAGTGTCTAAAGGCTCTTAGCTTTTCTCCCCATGATACTTCTCACAGTTTTTACTGCATCAATTATTTCCTCATTTACCTGAATCTTCTTCCATTTCTATTGTTCCTTTGCCTGGTTTTCCTAAATATTAAGAAATGTTTAGGCACACACCACATGATTTTTAAAAGTTTACTATATTTTTACTCTAAGTAGTAATCTTTTTCTCTCCTCTTCTTCACACCCAAACTTAGCTCAATGTTGTCTTCAGTGTCTGAGAAGTTTTATCCAAACCTTCGAATTGGTACTAGGCACAACTATCATACCCCGTTCGTATTAGCATTCTTTGCCCTAGATTGTGTTGGCCTGTATATTTTTTGTGATTTTTTGTTTTATGAAATCCAGAGAGCCTTTCTGTAAGCCATATTTTTTTGTTTTCACAGTTTCTTAAAAACTTTATTTTTGGCCAGGTGCAGTGGCTCATGCCTGTAATCTCAACACTCTAGGATTCTCAGGCAGGAGGATCACTTGAGGTCAGGAGTTAGAGACCAGCCTAGGCAAGAGTAAGACCCCATATCTACTAAAAACAGAAAAATTAGCAGGCACAGTGGTGCACATCTGTAGTCCCAGCTACTTAGGAGGCTGAGGCAGGAGGATCACTTGAGCCCGGGAGTTTGAGGCTGCAGTGAGCTATGATGATGCCACTGCACTCTAGCCTGGATGACAGAGCAAGACTGTCTCAAAAAGAAAGAAAAAGAAATTGATTTCTAAAGCACAGATTTGGATGCTCTTAAAAATGCATAAGTATTTTAGTGCACAAAATAATTCAAATATTTTAACACACAAAAATTAAGATCATTTTAGGATCAACAACATAGAAGGCCCAAAATGATCCCTCCTCCACACCACCATTTGGCTGTCTTTAATAGAGGGAACAAATCTATTACATCAGGTAAGAGTGTTTAAGACGTAGTTGAGAACAAGTTACAGTCTGAAGACTAGTTTTGAATCCCTTTGCTTATTGGGGCATACGTAAGTTTGATGAAGATACCTAATACTGTAAGAATCTCAGCTTCACCATCTGAGAAGATAGTTCCTATCTTAGAATAGAAGTTCAGAGAAAATGGCTGTGAAAGAGCCTGGCAAACTGTTTAGCACGGCGAGGAGGGGTTCCTGTTATCAGCTGTCAAGGCTTAAGCAAGAGAGCAAACCACCTCCCTCCACCCAGGAGTCCTGGCTAAAAGGTAGCAAGCAGGACGCAAGCACTTGCTTCTCTCCTAACAAAGGCTGAAGCTATAGAAAGAACCTTGGTCTAGGACACAGACATTCTAGGACTTAAACTCCCTTTGCAACTGAGATGGTTGTGAGACAAAGGGTTGGACTCCCAGATCTCTGGGGGCCCTTCCAATGTAGACATTCTCGGAGGCGGTGTGGTCCCAACCAAACTCCTGGTCTTATTTCCAGACACAGTAGGATGTCTTCCATATGGTAAGTAATCAATCAGTAAGCCTTCGCTCAACGAGTGAATAAACCAGTAAATGAATGAATGAATGAATGATGTCTCCTCAGACCCAATTAAGGGGCCCACTTCTGTACTCCTGCAGCTCCTGAGACTCCCAGCCACACACCCTTTCCTACAACTCTCTTTTTCTAGACGGTGTAATAGCGGGGAGCGTGTCCCCACCATTAGCAGAAATGGGCACTGCGCGGTTGGCGGGATTCTGGTGACTGCACTAGGTATGCGGGCCTGACCCGTGGGAAGGGTTTGCCGCACGTAGGGGCCGGAGGCTGGCCTGGGTTCACCCAAGGATGCCACGCGAGCTCTGGCTCTCCCCGGGCCCTCCTAGTCCCTGGGCTGATTCCGAAGAAGACTCACGTGAGCACCGGGATGGGCGTCCACACCACACAGTAGGGGAAGCAGCTCCGCTCCACGTCCATGGTGACGCCGCCGGAGCCGTGGTAATGCTTCATGTCCGTCTCTCGGCCGCCCTCGGCGCCTCCACTTCCGCCATCCCGGGCGGGAGTAATGGCCGCGGCAACAGGAGCAGAGAACTCCCTCCCGCTTCCGGCACCATGCTGCGCACGCTCCGCTCGGGCTCTGTAAGCCATGTTTTCTATTTCTGATTTATCATTTGAAATGACTACTTTTTCTTGGGTAGAAATCACTATCAAAGGATAAAACTGGTAATTTGAATGTAGCTAAAAATGTATAAGCCAGCCATATGTCAATCTGCATAAAAACAAACAAAACGTTTTCATTCTTACCGCTAATAACTGAGTTTTGCTAGTTTCTTGGTTTAGATTGTTTTGTGTTTCCTGAGTCATTTTCCATAAAAACTCCATTGTCTTTATAAGTTCCTCCTGCAAAATAACCAACATCTTTAGCAATAATAAAGATAGTATTGTAGATTTCATCCCCTCATCTACCAGAAAAGACTATAGTTGAGAGAACAGTAATTTTGAGTTAAAGAGGAATGGTCAGAATTTTCCACGTTAACCAAATTGGATTTTAATATTTGGGATACCAAACATGATAGAAAGCTTTAACAGAAAATTCAAAGAGATCCTGCAGGTAACATAATCCATTTTCTGAGAAATTGGCTTTTTTTCTACCCTGGCTATGAAGCAGTCAGTCAGGTTTACAGTAGAAGCCGGTGTTCCTGGTGCTGCCTCCTGCTCCACACCTGCACCAACTGAGTACATTTGACAATGTTTCTAAGGACACTTCCTTAGTGTAGGATCAGCACAGCTATGATTGGAGTGTCAAGTTGGTCAACAACATGGAAGGTCACATTTATATCTTGAGATTCACATTTAGAAATCACCATCCCCGCTGTCACCATTCTCGACTTCATTATAAGCCCTCATCTTTCTCTCTGATTTAGGATCCTATAGATTCCAAATGTCTTCACAGGCATCACTTACCCGGCACTGCTCAGCAGCACATTCTTCTGGACGGTGGCTATGAGTCACAAGCTCTAGTGCCTTGGAGCAGGGCCCACAGAGCAGTGTCTTCTCAGTCTCACAGAAGAGCCCCTTCACCTCCATGTGTGCCACACAGATGTGCTCCTCTGAGCTGTGGACCTGATGAGGTCTGGCCTGCCTGGCAAGGGAAGCCAGCTTCTTGAGTACAAAATCAGTTTTGAAGTCTGTCTTCTCCGACATTTCCCTGCACTCACGGCAACGCATTGGATTCTGGGATTTCTCCTAGCAGAGGAAGAGGCAGGGCCTGCAAAAGCTGTGCCCACAGTCTATGGCGACAGGGTCTATGAAGTAGTTCATGCAGATAGTGCAGGTGAGTTCATTCTGGAAGGTTTGCAAGGTGTCCGAATCCATGTTTCTGAAAATAAAGTCTAAAAAAAAAAAAAAAAGAGAAAAAGAATTACTCTTCTGTCCTGATGAGGTTAAGAAGAAAGAAAAAAAAAAGAAAAACTCCTTGGACAGTTCTGCTTGTCTGCTTGAGCTCTGTTTAATCTACCTGTTAACTTACTCACCCAGTAAAAACATAGACATGATAAATGTAGGCAGGCTGGATTTATACAGCCATCCCTCAATAGCCATGACAGTTGGTTGCAGAATTTCCTGACACCTACCACATCCCTTATATAAAATGGCAGAGTGTTTGCATGTAGGCACATCCTATAGGCACATCCTCCCAGATACTTTATACATCATCTCTAGATTACTTATACTACTTAATACAATGTAAATGCTATGTAAATAGTTGTTATACTGTATTGTTTAGGCACAATGACAAGAATAAAGTCTCTACATGTTCAGTACAGAAATTTTTCCTCCAAATATTTTTTATCTGTGGTTGGTTGAATCCACAGATGTGGAGCCTACAGGTACAAAGGTCAACCGTACTGTGATACAAATGGCAAAATAAGACAAGGGAGTCCTTGGGATCCTTTTTGTTAAAACAAGCAGTGTTCTCAATCATACCTAAATTATGGACAAGTTTAAAGACTGGGCCGAGGGTAAAAGTGGGGAAGATTCCAGAGTTACTTATATTAGCTGATTGGACCAGAAACACATCCAGAATCTCTCTATCTCTCTCTTTTTCTATTTCTCTCAATGACTCCATGATTGTAACATACAAAAGACAGTTAGTCTTCCTGCTGATAGTCTATGCTCCCCGCCTACCAATTCAGTGATGGACTTTCTGAAGACAGTTAAAATTGATTAGGTCTCATCTAAGCTTCACTAATTTAATTAGCATTAACTTCAACTTTCTTTTTTGTTTTTCCAGATTCCCACATTGCTTATTAACTTCAACTTTCAACTCCTAAAACTATAAACAGTTGAATTTATCCTTCTAAGTTCAATGTCAAAACTCTTCCTTTCAAGAGATGAAATGTAAAAATTATCTATTATTTTGAGTTTAGGAAAAATTTTTCCCAGGGTCAATTTGGATGACCAGGGAGAACAACTTGACATTCTGAAATGGGGAATATTTAAGCCTACAATAATTAGCAACAATTATTCAACTGTCTTTTAAAAACAAACAAACAAAAAAAATGAAAATAAGCACTGAGCTTTCCTCTCTACACTATAGAATCCAGAGATGTAGTTAATGGAAATGTGACCAATAATTTTGTTTATTTCCGGTATTTCTCCATAATGACCAATGAAACTTCTTGGGAGCCCTTACCAGTTAGTTGAATCTATATTGAACAGTTTTAAAATCTCGTCTGCAAAGTGGAAGTTTTAAAGGGACAGCAAATACTGCCTTTACAAGAAGTGTTTTTCAATTAATTCAACATATTTATCTTTTATTTTGATGTTTATAAAAACTATTACTATATGTGTACATTACATTGGACATTTTAGGTGTTTTAGGGGCTCCATAATTGCATAAAATATGTGAAAATATATCATTTAAGACCTAAAAATCTAAGCTGGATACAATGGCTCATGCCTGTAATCCTACCACTTTGGGAGGCCAAAGTAGGAGGATTGCTTGAGGCCAGGAGTTTGAGACCAGCCCTGAGCAGGAGTGCCACCCCATCGCTACAAAAAGTAGAAAAATTAGCCAGGCATGGTGGTGCATGCCTGTAGTCTCAGCTACTCAGGAGGCTGAGGCAGGAGGATTACTTGAGCCCAAGAGTTTGAGGTTGCAGTGAGTTAAGATGATGCCACTGTACTGTAGCCCAGGCAATAGAGTGAGACGTTGCCAAAAAACAAACAAACAAACAAACAAACAAAAAACCTAAAACATCTGCAATAGAGAAAGTAGTCAAATAAAAATGATCAAATAACAATTTAACACAAATCAACACATTACAAATGTTCTAGTTACAGATACTTATGTTCATGCGTTTTTAATAACTATAAAAGCTACTTGTTTGTTTGGATAAAACTTGAGGGGGCTGACAGGCCAATTTAAAGTAAAATATAAATGATATAAAACAAATTAAGCAACAAGGGCTTTACTTTAAATTCCATACGCACCAAAGTCTATTGTCACTGGTCTTACTTCTGGAAGCTCTGAAAAATCTGTCAATGTCCAGGTCTGCAGTAACTCTTGGCTCTCCAAAGCCCAGCAGCCACAAATACAATGGGTCTTCTCTGGAGAAGTCTCTCCAAGTGTGGACAAGTGGGCTTTTTATGTGATTTGACTCACCTAAAACCACACCCACTTATTGTGATTGACTACTCTTTCAAAAAAGAATCAAAAACTTTTGATTAGGTTACAGGGAAAGGTGTGAAATTGGTTGATTAGATTAACAAAGTACACAAAACCACGCCTGGAGGCTAACAGCCTAACATAATGCAGAGGAGTTTGGGGTGAGATGCAAGAAAGTTGACGTGATACATGTTGTTCAAAGGGAAACTTTCCCTGAAACAATTATTTCACTAAATAACTTTTTATTCTATAAGCAATGACCTCACGATTCTTAAAATTTTGTCTCTTATTCTACTCCTTGAATTTATAATATCTTGTTAAGTTCTTGGTCATTATTTATCTGAATATGCCCAACAATAAGACATTAACTGAGGAAACCAACACATCTGTACTGTGTAACTTTTTCATTTAAAAAAGTGCACCAAGGAACTCAATTGTATTTTAAATAATTGTATGTATAATAGTTGGTGAAATTCCTTGTATTACTTAGGAAGAGGTGGTTGTCCTTTTACTCAAGATATAGGGTTGTAAATAAATATGAGTTCTGAAGTGTCATTTAACCATCCTTGTACTTCAAATGTGTATCCTTAGGAGATTAAGGAAAGGTTATCATAGACACATATATGAAGACTTTTCCAGAAATTTCATTTTTCAAAAACTGTCTGAAACATTTCTTAAAATGTTGCATATCATCTACATAAGTCAAAAGAGGAAAGACTTTTTAGTATTCTCACTTATTAATAAAAATTAAATGATTAGTTGTGTAGGATGCCTCCTTTAGTGCTATTAAATGATGCTCTCCTGTGAGAGGGACTCATCCCACATTTACTTGCACCATTATTTCCTGGTTTGGGGATTACTTCACACATTATTTAAAAGTTTCATAAACCAAGCTCTGTGACCTCATCTCTACTGCAAATGATAAAAATAAAAGTGGTTGCGAGCCTTACTGAATTTTTCTAAGTACCATACTAACTTCTCATTCTCCTCCCATTAATCCCAGTCTTCAAAGACACGTAAGACAAAAACTTTAGCATCTGGTAGTTATAGGTTAGTAGGGAAGTTGAATGCATATATTAAAAAAAGTAAAAGAATTATAAAATCTTTAATAAGGAAGAAGAATTCGCTGTGTACAACTGGAGAAAAAACAAAGTAGCTAAATGTACCTGAGATTTTCTCTCTCTCCCCAATCATTCCATAGTAAAAGACCCCTGAAAAAGATTGATTTAAAAGGCTTGCATCCCTGCTCTGGCACCACTAAGCCTATCAAAAAGAATTTAAAAATCTAACCTTTTGCCATGTGCTAATTTTAGAATATTTGACAGATGTAAATTCACCAAGGTATATCGGCTTAGCTTGATACAAATCTAATATGAACATAAATCTAAATGGATAATTGAAAAAACATGTATTTTTTAGGCTAAGGAAATATTGATATCATAAATATCAGGCAATTAGGAAACACAGTACAGATGGACCAAATACTGTTTTCAAAAGAACACTAACAGTCTGAGAGCCCAGAGATTCCCATGGAAGATCAGCTTGCAGCAGGTAGGTGATAAAGGCCCTGCAGTTTATTCTTCTCACTAATAGGGCCTGAGACAGGTCGAGGATATTATGAGAAGCCAGGATATTAGCAGTAACACATCCTTTTGGACTCTTACATGGATTTTGCATGTGTCAGGCTGGTGTCAGGCTCCCATCAAATTTTGACATCTCAAAGTCCTATGTGATATAGTACAAGTTTTCTATTGACAGTGATGAATTCCAGGATTGCCAACAGTGTGGTTGGTGAGATAGAGTTGGTGAGTCTCTTTACCCAAAGCTGAAAAAAAGTTTTTAAATTGCTGTCAGTGCTCCTTAGACATTTAGAAACACTTGCTTAGGAAAAACACCAAAATCAGGCTCACCTGGTCATCCGCTTTTTGCCTAATGTAGCTTTTAACCAGAAGATTTAGAGGAGAAAAAGACCTGAAAGCCAGTTATCAACCTGGCATCATCAGCATGCTGGACAGCAAGAACCTCAATGCAAAAGCCACAGGTCTGTTAGAAATAGATTTCTAATGTATATTTGAAAGTCTTTTATAGCATAGCCTTTTTCAAAACATAGTGTATCTCCTAGCATGTCTGGGATGCAGGTACTGCTTGCTATCTTGCTAGGGATCTAGCTTAAAATAATTTAGTGTTAAAATGCTACTCTTTCAGAGGCATTCAAGAAACCTGGCTTAGCTAGAGTGAGGTGGGAAAGTGAGTGGGAAGGATAGATCCTTTCTGACTTGGGAAAAACATGGTGGATCTCTTTAAATTTTCCATGTTCTCTGAGGATTAAAAAGGAGCTCATTATCTTCTAAATCTAGAAATAGTTTCACTAAGTAGGGAATGAGTAATGAGTACAATTGTGGCTTACTGCAAATGTAAGTCTACTGCAGACTATAAGTCCATCACATTCATTTCAAATGAGCTCAGACTCAGGACTTGAGGGAGTGAAAACTGATGAGGCCCTTTTGAGACAGATCTTTATGCCCTGTCTTACTAGAATTTATCACCTCTCTGCCACAAATGCTGTCCCCCCAAAGTAGCAGTTTCATCTGTGCTTTTTAAGTACCAAAAGAATTGAGTTGATGAGGCTAATAATGCAGGACTAATTCTTCTGTGGTGTTGTGTTCTGTGTCTTCCTTATTATCTCAAGTCTAAAACATCTTCAAAG